CACTCTCATGCCTATCTTGTTTCACCCTTTCTTTTTCCTAAACACAATGTGATATGAGCTTATGTAGGGATCATTTCTTCCTTTGACAATTATAGTTTACCTTAAATTAATTGAATAGTGCAGGAAGAGAAATAAAAATAAATGCACGAGCAAATCTTTCGATAGTTCTAACTTTAATGACTTTAGTTTTGAGACAAGATAAGATATTTTAAGAATGTACTCTCTTATATTTTTCTTACTTTTATACTTCATAGACATAAGCTTTGTTAAAATCATATTTGTTTCAACCTTATCATTCTTAGCAAACTTTTTCTCAAGTTCGTTAAGTAAAACTCTTGTTGTAGTGGCTTCTTCAAACAAAGTGTTCTTGAAGGATTTTAGAATAGCATGCTTCATGATTATAAGACTCATGTGATTCAATTAGTCCTACTTATTATCTCTCTTATCCTCATGGGAGTTTGTGGGACAATCTTCTTTTAATATAATGTTCAAATCTATGCAATTGAGAACTATTAAAACATTTTCTTTCCATACCTTGAAGTTGGTATCATTTAGCATAAGAATATAGTTTATATGAGCAGAAATAGTAGAAGTAAAACTTAAAATTATATAAATAATAATAGAAAATTCACATAAGTAACTTGATTTTTAAATAATGATACTTCTCATTACAAGATATTGAGTGCAATATTAATACTTTGTCTTTGAATATTAATATTAATTGTAAGTAATATCTTAATGTGATAAATAAATATTGAAAATAAGTTTTTGTAAAATAATAGGCTTTTCTTTAGAATGACTTATTATTCACATGAAAATACTAAATAACTATAACATATTTATTATCAGAAAGACATGTAATTTGTAAAATACTAAACTTTCCTTTAAGACATTTAGTATTTGCAAAATCACACACACAACAGAACATCATATGTTAGAAAAATTAATCTCCACAAGAGAGTCTATTTTGGTAGGATGTTGCTTCAATTAATAATTTTAAAATATCAGAGATGTACCATGATAGTTATTTGACATTTAACTATAAATGTAAACATAATCATTGAAAATTTCAAATAACTTTATAAATAATATTTAAGAAATAAAATGACATTGGAATTAAATAATTTTATGGGCATGGTATGCTGATGCCATTATTATGATGTCATCATTATAGACCAGCACGTTGACTAACTGGATCGATTTGTATTGAGCTGGCACACCATCTATCTTGATTAGTGCAGTGCACTATTTCGACTATTCGGGCACACTGAGCTGATCACCCAAACCAGCATAAGCCGACTTGTGCACTCAAACTAGCATACATGGCATACGAACCATCGCATGATGGTTCCTTTCCCATCTGACATGCACTGAAAAATGGTTCAGCCGTTTCATACGATGAACTGGCTGTTGGCTCCTGAAATGCTGCATGACAGTTCCTCTCCCTTCTGGCACACACTGAAGATAGTGTGATAGTTTCACACAGTGGACTGATGTATGAACCGTCGCATGAAGGGAGAAGCCTATCAAGTCATGTCGAGCTCAGTCCAAAGGGGGGAGCGAGATACCAAGTTGTTTTAGTCCCTTAGGGCTTGAAACGTGATAATTATAAATTAGTAGTTGCATTGATGTATTCATATCTTATATATAGATGCTAATTAATGAGTAGATAATATAATTATACATGTGTTACCGACTCATTATGACATTCATAATATTTTATCATTTAAGTCATAATACATATTATTTATTTATATTATGAGACTAACTCCATTTAACTTTTATGAAGTAAAGTGGTGATTCTCTTATATTTTCTTGATAATTATTTGATTGCAAAGACTTAGGTGAGCTCTTATTCTAAGTTGAAAGTAACGAAAGAAGCTTAAGCCTTCATCACAATGAAAAACCAAGTCTTATGGAGAGGGCCAGCTAACGTGACTTAGTCGTTGTATATTAAATCATGTAAATCTAAAATTTATAAAACTAGAAAATACAAATTTTCAGATATTTAGGAATATTTCTGAATAAATATATCAATTATAATTCAATAAAATTTACAAAAAAACAGCGGTAATTTTCCAAGTCAATCACAGGGATGTAATATAATATCTGGTAATTATTTAGAATTTTTCTCAATGAATACGATTTTCTATGAATTTTATACTAGGAAATAAAAAGAAAATATATTTAAAATTCACAAAAAAGGGAAATAAGGATGCGAACGCGAATTGGGTGGAAACAGAGTTCTGTCTGGTGATTTTTATATAAGCAATTATAAATGATTTAATTAATCAAATTAAGATATGTAAAAGCCGGAAGAATCGTAATAGAATAAAGTATATTTTGGTAAATTAAAATCACAAAGATTATCACTAAATGAAGCGTAAAGTAAGTTGAAAGCAGAAAAACAAAGTTCTAATGTCGCGACGGCGATGCATTAGCGATGCACCGGAATCTTGAGCGTTCGGGAGGATCGTCGTGTAGTGTTCACGGCCTCGAAAGCTCTCCTTGGACAAAGACGACGTGGGCAATCTCTAGATCTTCTTGCGAAGTCTAGAGATTAATGAAATGGGTCGTCGAGTCATCTCTAATAGTTGTCATCCGGCAGAGCAGAAAAATGACAACTTTGCGGCTCTCTAGTGGCTGTCACCCGACAAAGAGGAGCTGGATGGTAGTCAGGCGTGTGTCAGGGAGCTTCATCCTCAGGTCTGCACAGCAAGAGGAGGCTCTTCATCGCATCTGGTACGCTCTCAGGAGGTGGCAACTCATCTCTCGGCGGATTGTCCTCTTCCTGATGACGGCTTGTTCGTCGATCAATCGGAGATGATTTACTCGATGGATTCGCGATCTTTTTATCGCGAATCGTTCAGTAATTTTAGTAGCAATGCTCCGCGAATCACATTGACGAGATTTTCGTTGATGATCCAGTGATCCTCGTTGCTTAATCCTTCACCGGCGATCTGTAGGAAAGTCGCGATAATCAGATAAAAATATATGACTTTTGACTCTAGGAGGATTCGAACCCATGTTGGTTGTCTGCCCCTTCTAAGGAAGGTGTGACGCGGGTTTAGTCCCACATCGGTTGTGCGCCGATTTTTCGAGCGAATATATAGTAATGTTACATTTCTGAGCAAAGTTCCTTCTCTCGCATGTACGATTGTTCCTTGCCCCACAGCCGGCAGGCCACCGGTGACGTGGAAGGGGAGTGGCGCACACGTGCCCCTATCGGTCCAAGCTGCTCGAGCCCCTGCTCGCAGCTAGTCCCCGACTGAGCTTCCGACCCACTTGTGGGCCCGGCTGACTAGCAGGTCCCCCATTTTGCAATATTTTTATTTTTATTTCTTGTTCTTTATTTATCTCAAAAGTAAGACTGTAAAAATCATATAAATTCATGTAAAATCACATAATTACCTAAAAATTCACACTAATCAACTGAAAACCAGTTTTCACACTTTAACACAAATATAAGTCTATTTATCATGAGTTAAGGCTAAAACTATATTATTTACTATTTATTAACTCATGATAATGAAGACTTATCACCAGCCTAATATGTTTATGAGCCCAAGAGAGGGAGTCACCTTGACCTAACCTTTTTGGACCTAAAATGAGTATAAAGAGATGAGATATAGGTTGTCTATCTTGTGGCGCCTTAAAATGAGATTAAAAGAATAATTAGAGCATCACCTTCATGAAATGATCTGGGCTGTTGATAAGTCTTCATTATCATGAGTTAATAATTAGTAAATAATATAGTTTTAGCCTTAACTCATGATAAATAGACTTATATTTGTGTTAAAGTGTGAAAAGTGGTTTTCAATTGATTAATGTGAATTTTTAGGTAATTATGTAATTTTACATGAATTTATATGATTTTTACAGTCTTGCTTTTGAGAAAAATGAAGAAAAAGAAATAAAAAATAAAAATAAGACAAAATGAGGGGGGACCCGCTGGCCAGCCAGGCCCGCAAGCGGGTCGGAAGCTCAGTCAGGGAGTAGTCGCGAGTAGGGGCTCGAGCGGCTTGGACCGATAGGGGCACATGTGCGCCACTCCCCTTTCATGTCACCGGTGGCCAGCCGGTTGTGAGGTAAGGAGTGGTCGTACACGTGAGAGAAGGGACTTTGCTTAGAAATCTAACATTACTATATATTCACTCGAAAAATCGGTGCACAACCGATGTGGGACTAAACCCGCGTCACACCTTCCTCAGAAGGGGGCAGGCAACCGGCGTGGGTTCGAATCCTCCTAGAGTCAAAAGTCATATATTTTTATCTGATTATCGCGATTTTCCTGCATATCACCGGTGAAGGATTAAGCAACGAGAATCACTGGATCATCGGCAAAAATCTCATCAACACGATTCACGGAGCATTGTTACTAAAATTGCTGAATGATTCGCGATAAAAGGATCGTGAATCCATCAAGTAAATCATCTCTGATTGATCGACGAATAAGCCGTCGTCGGAAAGAGGACGATCCGCCGGGAGACGAGTCGCCACCTTCTGAGAGCGTACCAGATGCGATGAAGAGCCTCCTCTTACTGCACGGACATGAGGATGAAGCTCCCTAACACGTGCCCCACCTCTATCCAACTCCTCTCCGTCGGGTGACAGCCGCCGGAGAGCCACAAAGTTGCTGTTTTTTCACTCCATCGGGTGACAGCTGTCGGAGACGATTCGGTGACCCATTTCATTAATCTCTAGACTTCGCAAAGAGATCTAGAGATTGCCCATGTCGTCTTTGTCCAAGGAGAGCCTTCGAGGCCATGGACATTGCACGACGATCCTCCTAAACGCTCATGATTTTGGTGCATCACTGACGCATCGCCGTCACGACGCCGGAACTCTGTTTTCCTACTTTCAACTTAATTTACGCTTCATTTAGTGATAATTTGTTGATTTTAAATTTACCAAGATATATTCCATTTCATTACGATTCTTTTGGCTTTTACAGATCTTAATTTGATCAATTAAATCATTTGTAATCACTTATGTGGGAATCACCAGGCGGAAATAGATTTTTGCCTGATTCGTGTTCGCCGGGTGCTGATGTCATTCTGACGTCTGCACCCTTATTTCCTTTTTTTCGTGAATTTTAAATATATTTCCTTTTCATTTCCTAGTATAAAATTCATAAAAAATCGTATTCATTGAGAAACATTCTGAAAAATTACCAGATATTATATTACATCTCTATGATCGACGTGAAAAATTATTGCTATTTTTTGGAAGTTTTATTGAATTATAATTGATATATTTGTTCAGAAATACTTCTAAATATCTAAAAAATCATATTTTTTAGTTTTATAAATTTTAGATTTGTGTGATTTAATATACAACGACTGAGTCACGTCAGCTGTCTACCAAGAGAGTTAGTTATTAATCATAATTGTTGATTGAAAGCGTTTAATTGTCAAGAGGATTAAGGCATCTCACCCCCCTCTTGGAGAATGCTTTTTGGCTCTTTCTTTAGTAGTGGCTAGTCGAAGAAAATAAGAAGAAAATCAAGGCCTGGTCAATGGTATTCTTGTACCTAAGATCATCGTGGAGAAGAGATTACTTGAAGTGCATTGATTAAGCATCACCTGGCCTAGGATTGATGCACAATGAAGTTTGTGCAAGATCCAAATTTGGGACATCTTTGTAATCCTCTCCATGGATAGATTAAATTTTAATTCAAACTAGTTTTATCATTTATTGTATAATTTCATTGCATTAGATTCATTTTCTCTCCTCTACCACGTTTTTCATAACTCTTATCTTACCCCTTTTATATTTAATTTCACCTTTCACAATCTTAAGTATATATATATATATATATATATATATATATATATATATATATATATACAAGTAGAATTCTTACTTTCATTATCTAGACTCCTTGAGGATCGACCCTTATTTATCCTAAATAAAAGATTGAGGTTTAATAAATATTATTTGGATGAATTTGGTTACATCACTATGACATATTTAACCTCTAATTTGAGTTCATTAGAGCAGTCAACCCAAAATAACCTCCCATTCAAAAAATAGAGTCACAGGGAATGCCTCTTGATGAACTTGATTTAAAAGTTAAATATGTCGTCGTGATGCAACCAAGTTCATGCAAATGACATTTATAAAATCTCACTCTTCGGTTTAGGATAAGTAAGGGTTGATCCTTAAGGAGCATGGGTAATGAGAGTAATAATTTTACTTAATTTATTTCTTATATATATATAGATATACTTGAGATTGTGAAGGGGAGGAATTTATTTAACAAGGGTAAAGACAATAGAAATGGAAAGTGTGGCAAAAGGGAGAGCATCAATCAAACATAATGAAATGATAGAATAAATGATAAAATTAATTCAAACTAAGAGTTATTCTATCTATGGAGAAGATTACTAGGATATCTTAGATCTAGATCTTACACAAACCTTGTTGTGCACTAGTCTTAGGCCGAGTGATGTTTGACCCATGATGATCTTGATGCACTCTAGGTAGTCTCTTCTCCATGACAATCTTGAGCATGAGAATGTCATTAATTAGGCCTTGATTTTCCTCTTTTTTTCTTCGGCTAGCTACTACTAGAGATAGAGCCAACAAGCATCCTTTAAGAGGGGGGCGAAAAGCCTTAAACCTCTAGAGAATTAGGCCCCTATAATAGATGGTTATGATTAATAATCAACTTTCTTAGTGGAGGGGCTAGATTCTTTTATGAAGGTGGCACTCTAATCCTCTTCTTAATCTCATCTTAAGGCGCCTTCAGATGAGTGGCCTTGATCTCATCTCTTGATACTCCTTTTAAGTCTGAATGGGCTAGGCCAAAGTTATGTGTTACCTAAGGTCCAAATGGGCCTAACCAAGATGACGCCCTTTCTTAGGCCCATAAACACATTAGGTCAGTCCTCTCCATAAGACTTGGACTTTTACTTGGGCTTCTTCCATTACTTCCAACTCATAATAAGAGCTCACTTAAGTCCTTACAATCAAATAATTATTAAGAAAATGTGAGAGAATCACCACTTGACTTTATAGAAGTCAAGTGGGGTTAGACTCATAATATCAATCAAATAAGTAAAATAATATACATTATGACTTAAATGAAAAAATATTATGAATGTTATCATGAGTCAGTAACACATATAATTACAATTTGTACCCACTAATTAACATCTATATATATGATATTAATGTATAAATACAACTACTAAATTATAATTATTTCCCCTCCCCTTGATTCCTATTCCCCCCCCCCACTGATTTTCAAAAGGGCTAGAAACCATCCTTCAATGAGAGGAAGAGGAGGAACTGATTGAGTTAGGAGCTTGTGCAAGCCGTCGCAGCCCTTAGCCTCTGGTAAAACCTTTCAACATCCTTTGGTATCATATTGTGCCTCTTCTTTGCCTTTTAGAGCCCTCTAGTGTCCAAACATCTAGAAGTGCCATCAACTGCTCTCCAACCTTCCGTTTGATGACGTAAAGGGGAAAGATGAATGGTTGGGCCCCTCTTGTAGCCCTCGACTTTCAAATGGAAATCTTCCTTCGGGAAAGAGAGGAAGAGAGGTGTGCAGAAACCATTGCTCCTCCTCCTCTACAGGGAAAGAAGAAGAGTTGATACACCCATTTGCATGGCTTGTACAGCCCATTAGTTTGTCTATGGTAAGGTTGAAATCTTATGATTTCTACAATGGACACCTGGATCCATTCTCAAGACAAGGCATAAAAAATGATACCAAGACGAATGAAAAATAATGAACATGTCATTCTCTAAAAACTCAACACATTTGTTGTGAGGTCTCCACCTTGTTTTAACACTTCAAGGCTCATTAATTAGTCTTTAATTTTGTTTAATTTTATATTCAAAAATAGAAAAATACTCATTATTCGTGGAATACTAAGAACATGAATATTCAATATTTGTCTGCAAAAATTAATAAAAAATAAGTTAAAAATAATCTTAACTTGATTTTAGACAAGTTTCAAAGGATTCATAGTAGGAACGAAGATCATTCTGTAAGTTTTTATTGAGTTTTACTCATTTCTACGAGAACATGTACAAAATAGAAAATAACTTGTCATAAATTATAGAAGTATCATCTAGATGTGCCACACCACACCAGAAATTATAGAAGTATCATGTAGAAGTGTTGTGCCATTCACCAAAGAGATCTGTTGAAAAGAGGGGTCGAGCACACTATCACCGTCGTCTGAGGAGAGAAAAGAAGAGTTGACTACTTACTAGAGGCCTTGAGTGTAGTTAGCAGAGGAAGGAACAAGCTCACTAATCGCCAAAGGTGTTGATCATGCAAAAGGAGGAAAGAACGGATATCACATTTGCAACTATCATTGGGTTTTTAAAGATAATCAATAATATCTATTTTACTAGATAATAATTGATTATTATCTTTATATCCTTGATGGTGAGATGTGCAAGAACTTTAGTTCCCAATATCATATATTTCACATGCCACTAGATCAAATGTGTTTGGTCACGTGGTGCATTGAGTGACACATGATTAACTCATGATGAATTGTTGCCAACTGAGAACTTAACTCTCTAGTACTATGATGCTTCACTCACCATTGGATCATCGTTTCTAGTCATGTATCAGTTGAATGGCGTCAGATTAGCGAACTACCAATAGATTGTTTTACGCTTCAGATATCGTGACAGTTTTCCAATCACAGGATCTACTTTATCTGCTAATGTGGCCCATTGAGCACCATTAGATCACATTGCACTCCAAACTACTATCCTAAAATAAATAGAAATATTTAGTTCCACATCATAAGTTTTTCAGCGATTGAATTGAATATATATGAAAGCTATGTTCTTAGTGCAGAGATTCTTACTCCTAAAATAAAATAATGCTCAAAACCCTCTTGAGAGAAGGTAAAAGGTGGTCCGTCCTTGCACGCACACGTGTGTACAATGCTCCTTGCTGTATGACTAGTTGGCCACCAAGATATGGTAAGGGAGTGACGCACATATGCACGAAGCGAGTCCTTCACCACTCAAGCCTAGCTCATAGCTCCCACAATCTAAGTCTACCCACTCGAGTGCATCGCCCCTTTAGGTCAACTACCAAGTGTCGACTTGCTAGCAGGTGGTAATAGTTTTATTTTATTCTTTTGTTTTTTTATTAATAAAAAATATAATATCCTTTAACTTTAGATTTTTTAATTTAATAGTATATAACTATATTTATTCTACAAGTTAACACATAAAAAATAAAATTATAAAACTAATTAAAACACAAAAATCTAGCTATAACAAGGTGGAATAGTGGTGATGAGTTAGATGGGGAGGAAGTGGAATGATGGTGACAAGGCAAACAACAAGGAGGTGGAATGAGAAAGTTGACATCGAAATGGTAGTATGATGAAGTGGGAGAAGAGAAAGAGAGAGATTGAGAAACTAGAGGAAGAGAGAGAGGGAATGAAGGGTCTAGGGATTCTGACAGAGGAGAAAAAGGAAGAAGAGGGAAGGAGAAGGGAGAGGACAAGAGTGAGAGGGAGAAATTGAGAGAGAAGAGAGAGATGGGAAAGAGACGGGAAAAAGAGGGGAATGAATGAGATTGAAAGGGATAGAATTAGAAAGAGATGGAGAGAATGAGAGAGAGAGAGAGAGAGCGAAAACAAGAGAGGAAGGGAGAGAAAGGCAAGATGGTTATTCTACATTCCAAAAGAGTTGTCCTTTCAGATGGCATTCCATCTTCAATTTATAAGAGATGAGATGAATGAGAGAGAAGGTAATTGGACCGTTAGAGATACCTTTTGGGTTGAGATGGCATCTCTTGGAGAGACACACCTTATTCTTCTCCTATTGACTCATTGATAATTATAAATTAATAGTTGCATCGATGCATTATAACTTATATATAGATGCTAATTAGTGGGTAGATGATATAATTATACATGTGTTACCAACTCATTATGATATTTATAATATTTTATTATTTAAGTCATAATACATATCATTTTATTTATTTTATTTATATTATGAGACTAACCCCACTTTTCTTGATAATTATTTGATAGCAATGACTTAGGTGAGTTCTTATTATGAGTTGAAAGTAACAAAAAAAACCAACCCTTCAGCACAATGAAAAGCCAAGTTTTATAGAGAGGGCCGGCCTAATATATTTATGGGCCCAAGAGAGAGTCACCTTGACCTAGCCTATTTGAACTTAAAAGGGCTATCAAGAGATAAGATCTAAGGTGTCCATCTTAGGGTGCCTTAAGATGAGATCAAGAGAATGATTAGAGAGCTGCCTTCATGGAATGATCTAAGCTGTCCACCAAGAGAGTCGATTATTAATCATAACCATTGATTGGAGGGGCCTAATTCTCGAGAGGATTAAGCCATCTCGCCTCCCTCTTGGAGGGTACTTTTTGGCTCTCTCTATAATGGTTAGTCGAAGGAAACATGAGAGAAATCAAGGTCTGGTCAACGACATTCTCGTGTCTAAGATCATCATGGAGAAGAGATTATCTGAAGTGCATCAAGATCATCACAGATCAAGAATCACTTAGCCTAGGACAGGTGCACAACGAGGTTTGTGTAAGATTCAGATTTGGGATGTCCTTGTAATCCTCTCTATAGATAAATTAATTCTTAGTTCAAACTATTTTTACCATTTATTCTATCATTTTATTATATTAGATCTATTTTCTCTCATTTGCCACACTTTCTATTTCTCTTGTCTTCATCTTTTTTTAGATTTAATTTTGCCCTTCACGATCTGAAGTACATATATATATATAAGAAATAAAATAAGTAGAATTCTTACTCTCATTACCCACGCTCCTTCAAAATTGACCCTTACTTATTCTAAATAGAAGAGTGAGGTTTTATAAATATTATTTATATTAACTTGGTTGCATCATGATGACATATTTAACTTCTAAATTGAGTTCATCACTCATTAGGTGATGGGCCCTCTAATAAGTCTTCATTATCATGAGTTAATAATTAGTAAATAATATAGTTTTAGCATTAATTCATGATAAATAGACTTATATTTGTGCTAAAATGTGAAAAATGGTTTTCAATTGATTAAAGTGAATTTTTGGCTAATTATGTGATTTTTTACAAATTTATATGATTTTTATAGTCTTATTTTTGAGATAAATGAAGAAAATAAAATAAAAATATAGCAAAATGGGGGGAGACCCACCGGCCAGTTGAGCCCGCAAGCAGGTCGGAAGCACAGTGGGGGAGGAGCCGCAAGTAGAGGCTCAAGAGACTAGGACTGATGGGGGCACATGTGCACCACTCTCCTTCCACGTCACTGGTGGCTAGCCGGCTATGCGACAAGGAGTGGTCGTACGCACGGAAGAAAAGGACTTAGTGCTTGAAAATATAATATTACTATATATTTGCTTGAAACTTCGGTGCACAAGCGATGTGAGACTAAACCTGCATCACACCTTTCCTAGAATATTTTTGAAAATTTTAATACCTAAAATACCCCTTATTTATAATAGAAATATACTATGATGATGTCACTTGATAAGGGCATTAGAGTACTTATTTAAATCTCTCTCATCTACGTGGGCAATTGGCACAAGTTTGAATCTTCCTAGAGCCAAAACTCGTATTTTTATTTAATTATTACGACTTTCCTATAGATTGCCCGTGAAGGTTTAAGCTGCCAGAATTACTGAATCATTAGCGAAAATCTCGTCAACATGATTCACGGAGCATTGTTACTAAAATTGTTGAATGATTCGTGATAAAAAAATCACAAATCTATTGAGTAAATTATCTCTGATTGATCGATGAACAAGTCGTCGTCAGAAAGAGGATGACCTGTCAAGAGACGAGTTGCTACCTCTTGAGAGCATACCGGATGCAATGAAAAGCCTTCTCTTGCTGTGCAGTGATAAGTCTTCATTATCATGAGTTAATAATTAGTAAATAATATAGTTTTAGCCTTAACTCATGATAAATAGGCTTATATTTGTGTTAAAGTGCGAAAATTGGTTTTTAGTTGATTAATGTGAATTTTTGGGTAATTATGTGATTTTATATGATTTTTATAGTCTTACTTTTGAGATAAATGAAGGAAAAGAAATTAAAATTAAAATATACCAAAATGGGGGGACCCGTTGGCCAACCAAGCCCGCAAACGGGTCGGAAGCGCAGTCAGGGAGTAGCCGCAAGCAAGGGCTCGAGCGGCTTGAACCGATGGGGGCACGTGTGCGTCACTCCCCTTCCACGTCACCGGTGGCCAGCCGGCTGTGGGGCAAGGACTGGTCGTACACACGAGAGAAGGGACTTTGCTTAGAAATCTAACATTACTATATATTCGCCCGAAAAATTGGCGCACAACTGATGTGGGACTAAACCCGCATCACACCTTCCTCAAAAGAGGCGGGCAACTAGTGCGGGTTCGAGTCCTTCCAAAGTCAAAAGTCATATATTTTTATCTGATTATCGTGACTTTCCTATAGATCGCCGGTTAAGGATTAAGCAATGAGAATCGCTGGATCATCGGTGAAAATCTCGTCAAAGTGATTCGCGGAGCATTGCTACTAAAATTACTAAACGATTCGCGATAAAAGGATTGCGAATCCATCGAGTAAATCATCTCCAATTGATCGACAAACAAGCCGTTGTCGGGAAGAGGACGATCCGTCGGGAGACGAGTCGCCACCTCCTGAGAGCGTACCAAATGCGATGAAGAGCCTCCTCTTGCTGCGCGGACCTGAGGATGAAGCTCCCTGACACGCGCCCCACCTCCATCCAGCTCCTCTCTATCGGGTGACAGCCACCAGAGAGCCGCAAAGTCGCCGTTTTTCTGCTCCGTCGAGTGACAGCCGCCGGAGACGACTCGACGACCCATTTCATTAATCTCTAGACTTCGCGAGAAGATCTAGAGATTGCCCACGTCGTCTTTGTCCAAGGAGAGCCTTCGAGGCCGTGGACACTACACGACGATCCTTTTGAACGCTTAAGATTCCGGTGCATCACCAATGCATTGCCGTCACGACGCCAGTACTCTGTTTTCCTACTTTCAACTTACTTTACGCTTCATTTAGTGATAATATTTGTGATTTTAGTTTATCAAAATATACTTTGTTCTATTACGATTCTTCTGGCTTTTATAGATCTTAATTTGATGAATTAAATCATCTGTAATCACTTACGTAAGAATCGTTGGGCGGAACTCTTTTTCCACCCAATTCGCGATCGCCAGGTGCTGATGTCATCCTGACGTCCGCACCCTTATTTCCCTTTTTTGTGAATTTTAAATATATTTCCTTTTTATTTCCTAGTATAAAATTTATAGAAAATCATATTTATTGAGAAAAATTCTGAATAATTACCAGATATTATATTACATTCCTTTGATTGACCTGGAAAATTACCGCTATTTTTCAAAGTTTTATGGAATTATAATTGATATATTTATTCAGAAATACTTCTAAATATCTAAAAATTCATATTTTCTAGTTTTATAAATTTTAGATTTGCGTGATTTAATATACAACAACTGAGTGACGTCATGCAGACTTGAGGATGAAGCTCCCTGACACGCACTCAACCTTCATTCAGTTCCTCTCCGTCGAGTAACAGTCGCTAGAGAGCCCCAAAGTTGCTATTTTTTCGCTTCGCCGAGTGATAGTCGTTGGAGATGATTCGTTGACCCATTTCATTGATCTCTTGACTTTTCAAAAAGATTTAGAGATTGCCCACATCATCTCTATGCAAGGAGAGCTTTCAAGGCTGTGGATATTGTATGACAGTCCTCCCAAATGCTCAGGATGCTGGAGCATCGTTGACGCATCACCATCACGATGCCAGAAGTCTATTTTCCTACTTTTAACTTAATTTTCTCTTCATTTAGTGATAATTTATGTGATTTAAATTTACCAAGATATACTTCATTCAATTACGATTCTTCTGGCTTTTATAAATCTTAATTTGATCAATTAAATCATCTATAATCACTTACGTAAGAATCACCGAGAGGAACTTTGTTTTTGCCTAATTCGCGTTCATCAGGTGCTGACGTCATGCCAATGTATGTACCTTTATTTCTCTTTTTCGTAAATTTTAAATATATTTTATTTTTATTTCCTAGTGTACAATTCATAAAAAATCATATTCTTTGAGAAAAATTTTGAAAAATTACCCGATATTATATTACATCCCTAAGATCAACTTGGAAAATTATTAATTTTTTTTTAAGTTTATTAAATTATAATTGATATATTTGTTCAGAAATACTTCTAAATATTTAAAAATTAGTATTTTCTAGTTTTATAAATTTTAAATTTGCGTGATTTACTATACAATGACTAAGTCATGTTAAATTTTGGCACCATTGCCATGGATGTATTGCAGAATATTTACTATTTTTCTATTTTTCTCTTAGAGTATACAAAAAAAATAAATTAACTCTTATTTTATTTTCTTCTTGCCGAATGTTTTTAAAAAAAAAGAGGAACGAAGAGAAGCAAGGCAAGTATTGGAACATACTGAAAGAGGGTAACAATTATTAAAATGTTACTTTGAATTTATTGATATTTATGAATGGTAGAATATCCTTGCATCTAAGGCTAGAAAATCCTTTTATTTCTTTATTCAAAATTAAAAATCCGAAAGAAAAATTAATTTTGATGGATTATGAAGGAAGTACAAGTCAAATTGAGAACAATCTTATGGTCATGAAAAATTATTATATCCTTGATTCATTTCAAAGAGCATCCAATATTAGAGTTATATTAGCATCCATTGTTAAATTTGAAATAAATTTAGAAAATTTTCAAAGGTTCCCTAATTTTCATGGATTACTTTTAGAGAAACTTTATTAGCACTTAAAAAAATTTCATATGATCTGTGATTTAGTTAATCTCTCTCAAGGTACATAAAAAATTATTAAGATGAAATTATTTTCTCATACACTTAGAGACAAAATTAGTCATTGGCTATCCACATAAGATATAGAATTAACTAATTGGAAAGACATAGAATAAACTTTTCTTTGAAAATTTTATCCCTTAGGAAAAACTCAAAATATGAGAAAATATAAATAGAGTTTTTCTCAAAGACTAGGAGAAACTTTGCATGAGTCATGAGAAAAATTCAAAGATTTATTTAGAAAGTGTCTTCATTATGCTATACCTAAGTGACAACTCAATAGAATTTTTTCTCATGGATTATTAAAACAACATAGAAATATGATTGATTCTATATGTGGAGGAGCTTTTATGGAGAAAAAACTCCTGATGAGATTTACAATCTTTATGATAATTTAAGTAAAAATTCTAGAGATCAAGCTTCTTTTGAATTATATGATAGAAATAAGAAGAGAGGAATTTGTAAATTACATCATCAAAATAATTGTAATTTACGAAATAAGGTTAATTAGATTAATCAAAGATTAAAAAACTTGATTTACTTATTGACAATATTAGAAAGCCTCTTAACTCTCAATTTAATTCAAATAGTACCTATCTTATGTATGGTGAAAATGATTATTCTAAATTTCAATACTATAATTTAGATCAATCATTTCACCTTATGGAAGAACAAGTGCAAGTAGCTCACGGTTTTAATAGAAATAAGAAGCCTTTTTCAAATTCTTATAATCCTAATTAGAGGAATGATTTTTCTTAAAGGGACCCAAATAATATTCAAAATTCAGAAGCACTTAGACCTAATTCAAACTCTAAGTTTCATCTAAAATAGGAAAACAGATTTCAAAAAAATCAACCCTCTCAAACCCAACTTGATAGTATGAAAATGATGTAGTAAATGAGCCAAATGATGCAACAAACTATGAATCAAATGATGTTACAGTAGAAATAAATTATAGAGGCTTTTAAGAATAAGAGAGAAGAGGGACAACTACCTGGTCAGCCCATAGAAATCTAGGGAACTATCCAACAATAGGATTTTAGCAATTGGAGTCTAGTAGCATGAATCTAGAAAAAAACTCATGAAATGAAAATGCTAGGACAACGAATGTATTAAGGAGTGGGAAGATTTTCCCTGATCCTTATCCCCAAACATTAGAAGAAAAAGAAAATGTGGACATTTCTATGAAGAGAATTTTATGGATTCTATGAAGGAAATTTCTAAAGAGAGGAGAACCACTTCATTTCCAAAAGTCTAGAACTTAGACAAAGAAAGAAAAAGGAACACAGTGAAGAAATAAAGAAAATTTTACAAGATGTGCAAATTAGTCTTCTTTTATTTACTACCATTGAACATATTCCTGAATATACTAGAGTTTTGAAAGAAATGTGTACATAAAAAAGGGCACTTAGAGTAGAAAAATTATCTATGCATGTTAGTGCTTTATTATTAAATCAATTACCATATAAATTGAGAGATACTAGTGCCCCTTTAATTTCGTATGATATTGGTGGATCTATTTTTTAGAATGCATTACTTGACACCAGTGCTAGTATTAATTTATTACCAATAAGTATATATGATAAATTTAATATTTTTGATCTTAAACCTTCTACTGTTATCTTACAATTTGCTGATAGATCCATAAAACATCCTAAAGGTATTTTAGAAAATATGATAGTAATAGTTAAAGGGTGTAAATTTCTAGTTGATTTTGTACTGCTGGAAATGGATTTTAATGGATAGTTTTATGATACACTAATTATCTTAAGGAGACCATTTTTGTATACAGCAAAAATGAATATTGATTTTTCCACAGGTATTGCAAAAATTTCATGTGAAGATCAGTTAGTAGAAATTAAAATTTTTGAGGCATCAAATGATCTTAAGAAATCCCAAGAATATGATTGTCATACCATAGATCTTCTAGATGATTTTGATGATCTAGATGTTATTGATAACTATGCGCTGAAAAAATTAGAGGAAATAGAGAATATAAATTTGGGAGAAAAGAAAGAGGAAGATCATCTAAATTTAGAGTTGAAACCTCTTCCCTCCAGTTTAAAATATATAATTTTGGAGGAAAATAATTCATTTTCTATTATTATTACAATTGATTTGAGTGATGAATAGGAAGAAGAATTATTAGATGTACTTTGAAAAAATAAGAAGGCTATTGACCGAAAAATGGATGATCTTAGGGGCATTGATATGAGTGTATGCATGCATAGTATTTATATCTAGAGGAGGGGGCTAGAACTAACAAGGAACTGCAACGAAGATTAAATCCTAACATGATAGAAATTATTAAAAAAGAACTTTTAAAGTGACTAGTTGCTGATATTATTTATCCTATTTCAGATAGCAAATGGGTTAGTCCTACACAAGTGGTGCTAAAAAAGTCAGGGATCACAATTATGAAAAACGAAAATGGAGATGAAATAGAAACAAGATTAATTAACGGTTGGAGGGTTTGCATTGATTATAGAAAACTAAATTCAGTTACTAAAAAAGATCATTTTTCCCTATCATTTATTGATCAAATTCTAGAAAAATTAGTTTGAAAAAACTTTTTTTGATTTATGGATGTATGGTTTATTTATAATCAAATTTATATAAACCCTTTAGATCAAGAAAAAATAACTTTCACTTGTCCATTTGGTACTTTTGCTTTTAAATGCATGCCTTTTGACTTGTGTAATGCTCTAGCCATATTTCAAAGATGTATGGTGTCTATTTTTTCTGATATGACTGAAAAATGCATGGAAATTTTTATAAACGATATTTCTATTTTTGGTGAATCATTTGACGAATGCTTAAATCATTTACAATATGTACTTGAGAAATGTATAGTGAAAAAATTAGTTTTGAGTTAGGAGAAATCACATTTTATTGTTAGAGAGAGAGTTGTGTTGGGTCATATTGCGAGTGAAAGGGGTTTAGAGGTGAATAAAGTAAAAATTGATATTATATCTAAAATGAAACCTCTAAATTCAGTAAAATAAATTAGATCTTTCTTGGGTCATGTAGGTTATTATAGAAAATTTATTGAAGAGTTTTTTAAAATTTCTAAACCTCTTGCCATGTTATTATCTAAAGATGTGCCTTTTAATTTTGATGAGAAATGTTTTGAGTCTTTTTCTGAAATAAAAAGATTACTTAGTGAGGCACCCATTTTACAAGCTCTTGATTGGTCCCTTCCCTTTGAAATAATATGTGATGCATCAAATTATGCAGTGGGGCCCATTCTAGAACAAACAAAAGAGTCAAAACCCATAGTAATTTCATATGCTAGTAAAATTATATCCATGCTCAATTAAATTATATCACAACTAAAAAAGAGTTGTTAGCTGTAGTATTTTAGTTAGAAAGATTCAGATCATATATTTTAAGAGCTAAAATTGTTATTTATATTGATCATGCAGTATTAAAATATTTGTTAAATAAGAAAGATGTAAAGCCACATTTATTAAGATGGATTTTATTATTGTAGGAATTTGACTTAAAAATAAAAGATAAAAAAGGTTTCGATGTTGTTGCTGACCATCTTTCTAGATTGAGTGATACGGGAATAAATGCAGCACTTTTACAAGACATATTTCTAGATGAACAATTGATGGCAGCTCAACATCAATCATCATCATGGTGTGCACATATTGTTAATTTTCTGGTTTCTAGAAAAATTCCAGAATAGTGGGATAAGAACAGAAAACATCATTTATTTTCTAAGATTAGAAATTATTTTTTGCATGACCTTGATTTATATTACTTGAAAATGATCAAATTTTAAGGAGATGTGTTCCTAAAGAAGAATAACATAGCATTCTTAACATGCGCCATTCATCTAATTGTGGAGGACATTTCTTTGAACGAAAAATAGTTGCAAAATTTTTTTAGTGTATTTTTTATTGGCTTACAATCATTAGAGATTCTATAGAATTTAGTAGAACATATATTTCATATCAATCTATAGGTAACATGAGTAAAAAAGATGAAATGTCCATAAGTAACATGTTAGTAGTCAAATTTTTTGATGTATAAGGAATAGATTTCATCAGTCCCTTCCCATTAGCTGAAAAATATGAATATATTTTGCTTGTTGTTGATTATCTATTTAAATGGGTGGAAGCTATTCTTACTAGAACTAATGATCATAAAATCATGATGAAAGTTGTGTAGGAAAATATTTTTTCGAGATTTGGATGTCTTAGAGTGATTATTAATGATGGAAGAACACATTTTACAAATAAACATTTCAGGGAACTGTTGAAAAAGAGTGAAGTACATCATAGAGTAGTCACTTCATATCATCCCCAAACAAATGGGCAAGCTGAAATAGCAAATAGGAAAATTTAGAGAATTTTGAGAAAAATAATTAAACCAGATAGGAAAGATTGGCCCACAAAATTACAAGATGCATTATGAGCTTATAGAACAACTTATAAAAATCTCATAGGTATGTCTCCATTTAGTCTCATTTTTGGAAAGCCATGTTATCTTCTTGTGAAAATAGAGTATAAAACATTATGAGCTATAAAAAAATTATGTATGGATGAAAAATCAACTGGTGGGCATAGAATTTTTTAGCTACATGAACTAGAGGAGTTGAGGAATGAACTTATGAAAATTATAAAATATATCAAGAAAAAACTGAAACTTTTCATGATAAATACATTAGTAGAAAAAAATTTGATATTAGACAAAAAGTGTGGTTATATAATTCTAGCCTGAAATTATTTTCAAGAAAATTAAAATCAAAATGGACAGGGCCTTATATGGTTGAAGAGACATAAGATCATAGGGCTGTAATGATTAAAGATCTTAAAAGTGATCATAACTTTAAGGTAAATAGACAGCGGCTTAAACATTACATAGAAAATGAACGCTTTGTAGAAAAAGAAATTTTATTATTAAAAGAAATTCAAAAGTAAGATCAATGTGTCCAAGTGGAGACATTAAATTCAGTGTTGCATGGGTGGCAACCCATGGTCTTTATTTCATTTTGTTTTTTTAAGTTCTGTTTTTCTTAGAATTTCGTAATACTTGTTTCCGTATTTATTTTTTTCAAAAAAGTGTAGGAGTGTAAAATGAAGTGGAAAATTAAAAACAAGGTTGAGGTGATATCTTTATGAGCTTTATCATTTATGAAAACATTTTTAATGCTTAACTTTACATATATGCGTGCTTCACTTGAAAATTACATTTTTTGTATATTCTATTTTGTTTTTTCTATGTCATTGAGGACAATGTCATTTTTAAGTTGGGAGGTGAAGTATTAATTCTTAATTTATGTTGTAGGACGATTAAGAACATGTGTTTGTATTTTTTTTCATACTCACTTAAAATAGAAACTAAAAAAAAAGAAAATTCGGAAAAACTACAACATCTATTTTCTGGTTTTCTATCAAGAACAATAGACTATAAAAAATAGTAGACAAAAAAACAGCTTGAAATTTAAAATTCTAGAGACACTTTTCTCACATTTCAATCCCCTAAATATATATTACTAAAATTCAAAATTACAACTATAAAGAGGATAGTTTTGATTTAGTTTTGAAAAATTTATTGTTGCTAAAAACAAAATTGAAAATAAAAAGTAGAACTGCCAAAATTATCTAATTTACAAATTCTTATATCATATTGCATGCACGAAAAATTAAATCAATTAGATTGATTGATACCAAAAGATTCTAGGAAGATTATTATTGAGTCAAAATAATGATTTAGTAGCATGAAATATTGGAATTCTTCTTGGATACATGATAGATAATATGGATTTGATTTTATAGATTTTCACTTCATGATCTTGATAGATACTATTTACTTGATGTGAAAATTTGATTGATCATTTGAGTTTAATGTAGATTTTTGCACCTTGATCTATAGGACTTGTGAGAAGAAATCACTTATTTTGAAAAAAAAAAGAGCAATGTGAAAAATCTAGAAATGAGGAGTACACATAGAAGGTTTGAGACATCATTCTTATTCCCAAAAATCGTGCATAGAAAAACACTTGCTGTAAAATAAGTGGATAAAGTGAAAGCTCTGAAAATGAAAAGTACAGATGGATGGTGTGAGACATCATTCTTATTGTCAAAATTTGTTTAGAGAAAAAGCTATTTATCTACTATATTAAAAAAATATATATATAAAAGAAATACAGTGCAAACTTCAAAAATCAAGCTATGAAAAAAAAGAAATGTAGGATCAATATTATTTTTGGATGAGTATTAATAATTGAAATATCTTGTAAATATATCTATGAGTGAAGAAGTGATAAAGATGTGAATAGAAAAAAATAAAGTCTAGATTGTTATTCTAAAGAATACTTAAACATTTAAGTGCTTGACATCATTCATAAATAACTAATATAAGAATCCAAAGTGTCTAAAGGTGCATCATTTCTAATTATATTTCTTTTATGTATTGAAATATGATGTTTGAGATTTATGAATTTTTATTTTCATAATTCCATTGCTAAGAGACTAGCAATAATTTAAGTTGGGGGTTGTGATAAGTCTTCATTATCATGAGTTAATAATTAGTAAATAATATATTTTTATCCTTAACTCATAATAAAAAAACTTATATTTGTGTTAAAGTGTGAAAAGTGGTTTTCAGTTCATTAATGTGAATTTTTGGCCAATTATATGATTTTCTACAAATTTATATGATTTTTATAGTCTTTTTTTTGAGATAAATGAAGAAAATAAAATAAAAATAAAAATATAGTAAAAGAGGGGGGACTCACCTGCCAACTGAGCTTGCAAGCAGATCGGAAGTGCAGTGGCGGAGGAGCCATGAGTAGAGGCTTGAGAGACTAGAACCGATGGGGGCACGTGTGCACCACTCCCCTCCCACGTTACTAGTGGCCAACTAGTTGTGAGGCAAGGAGTGGTCGTACATGCGGAAGAAAAGGACTCATTACATGTAAATGCAATATTACTACATATTCACCTGAAACTTCAGTGCACAAGCGATGTGAGACTAAACTCACATCACACTTTCCCTAGAATATTTTTGAAGATTTTAATATCTAAAATATCCCTTTATTTATAATAGAGATATACCATAATGATGTCACTTGATAAACACATTAGAGTACTTATTTAAATCTCTCTCATGTAGGCAGGAAATCGATGTGGGTTTAAATCCTCTCAGAGCCAAAACTAGTATTTTTATTTGATTATTCCAACTTTCTTACAGATTGCTAATGAAGGTTTAAGCCGCTAGAATCACTAGATCATCGACAAAAATCTCATCAATGCGATTCACGGAGCATTGTTACTAAAGTTGCTGAACAATTCGTGATAAAAGGATCGTAAATACATTGAGTAAATTATCTTTGATTAATCGACTAACAATCCGTCGTCAGAAAGAGGATGATCCATGGGGAGACGAGTTGTCACCTCCTGAGAGCATACCAGATACAATGAAGAGCCTTCTCTTGTTGTGTGGACTTGAGGATGAGGCTCCCTAACATGTGCCCAACCTTTATTCAGCTTCTCTCCATCGAGTGATAGCCACCAGAGGGTCGCAAAGTCACCATTTTTTTCGCTCCGATGAGTGACAGCCACTGGAGACCATTCTATGACCCATTTCATTGATCTCTAGACTTCGTAAGGTGATCTAGAGATTGCCCACGTCGTCTTTATCCAAGGAGAGCTTCCGAGGCCATGGACACTATACGACAGTCCTCCCGAATGCTTAGGATTCCAATACACCGTCAACGTATCGCCACCACAACACTAGAACTCTATTTTCCTACTTTTAATTTAATTTCTACTTCACTTAGTGTTAATTTATGTGATTTAAATTTATCAAACTATATTTCATTCAATTACGATTCTTTTAGCTTTTATAGATCTTAATTTGATGAATTAAATTATTTGTAATCACTTACGTAAGAATCACTAGGTGGAACTCTATTTCTGTCCGATTGGCGTTCACCGGGCGTTGATGTCATCTTGATGTCCGCACCCTTATTTCTCCTTTTTTGTGAATTTTAAATATATTTTATTTTCATTTCTTAGTATAAAATTTATAAAAAATAGTATTCTTTAAGGAAAATTCTCAATAATTACTCAATATTATATTACATCCTTGTGATCGACTTGGAAAATTATCACTATTTTTGAAAGTTTTATTGAATTATAATTGATATATTTATTCAGAAATACTTCTAAATACCTATAAATTAGTATTTCTTAGTTTTATAAATTTTAAATTTGCGTGATTTACTATACAATGATTTAAGTCATGTCACCTTCTTTTATGGGGTCTTCCTCTATGGGCTCTTGATAAGTCTTCATTATCATGAGTTAATAATTAGTAAATAATATAATTTTAGTCTTAACTCATGATAAATAGACTTATATTTATGTTAAAGTGTGAAAAGTGATTTTTAATTGATTAACATGAATTTTTGGCTAATTATGTGATTTTATACGAATTTATATGAGTTTGATAGTTTTTTTTTGAGATAAATGAAGAAAAAGAAATAAAAATAAAAATATAGCAAAATGAGGGGAACCCATTAGCTAGCTAGGCCCGCAAACAAGTTGAAAGCGCAGTCAGGGAGGAGCCTGTGAGCAGAGTTTGAGTGGCTAAGATCAATGGGGGCACATGTGTGCCACTCCCCTGCTACATCATCGGTGGCCAGCCAATTATGAGACAAAAAGTGGTCGTATATGCAGGAGAAAAGGACTCATTGCTTGTAAATGCAATATTACTATATATTCACCTGAAACTTCAGTGCACAAGCGATGTGAGACTAAATCACATCACACCTTCCCTCAAAAGGCTTTGATGATTTTAATACCTAAAATACCACTTATTTATAACAAAGATATACCATGATGACATCACTTGATAAGGACATTAAAGTACTTATTTAAATCTTTCTCATGTAGGTAGACAATCGGCGCGGGTTTGAATTTTCCCAAAGCCAAAACTCGTATTTTGATCTGATTATCGCGACTTACAGATCGTTGGTGAAAGATTAAGCTGCTAGAATTGCTGGATCATTGGCAAAAGTCTCGTCAATGCGATTTGCGGAGCATTGTTACTAAAATTGCTAAACGATTCGCAATAAAAGGATCGCGAATCAATCGAGTAAAGTATCTCTGATTGATCGACGAACAAGCCATTGTCGAGAAGAGGACAATCTACCAGGAGACGAGTTGCCACCTCTTGAGAGCATATCAGATGTGATGAAGAGCCTCCTCTTACTGCGCAGACCTGAGGATGAAGCTCCCTGATATGTGCCCCACCTCCATCTAGCTCCTCTATGTCAGGTGACAACCGTTGGAGAGTTACAAAGTCACCATTTTTTCGCTCTGCCGAGTGACAGCCACTGGAGATGATTTGATGACCCATTTCATTGATCTCTAGACTTCGCAAGGAGATCTAAAGATTACCCACATCGTCCTAGTCCAAGGAGAGCCTTCGAGGACATAGACACTACACGACAATCCTCCCGAATGCTCAGAATTCTGGTGCATCGCTAATGCATCGCTGCCGCGACGTCGGAACTCTGTTTTCTTGCTTTCAACTTAATTTTTATTTCATTTAGTGATAATTTGTTGATTTTAAATTTACCAACATATACTTCATTTCATTACGATTCTTTCGACTTTTACATATTTTAATTTGATCAATTAAATTGTCTATAATCGCTTACATAAGAATCACTGGGTGAAACTCTATTTTCGCCAGATTCGTGTTCGCCGAGTGCATACATCATCTTGATGTCTGCACCCTTATTTCCTTTTTCTATGAAATTTAAATATATTTTCTTTTCATTTCCTCGTATCAAATTTATAGAAAATAGTATTCTTCGAGAAAAATTCTGAATAATTACTAAATATTATATTACATCCCTTTGATCGACCTAGAAAATTACTACTATTTTTAGAAGTTTTATTAAATTATAATTGATATATTTGTTCAGAAATACTTCTAAATATCTAAAAATTCATATTTTCTAGTTTTATAAATTTTAAATTTACATAATTTAATATACAATGACTAAGTCACGTTAAATTTTGGCGCCGTTGTCAGGGATGTATTGCATAATATTTAGTATTTTTTTGTTTTTCTCTTAGAGTACACAAAAAAAAAATTAACTCTTGTTTAATTTTTTTCTTGTCAAAATTTTTTTTTTAGAAAAAAGGAACGAAAAGAAGAAAGCCAAGAACTAGAGCATACTGAAGGAGGGTAACAATTATTAAACTTTTCCTTCGAATTTATTGATTTTTTATGTATGGTAGAAGATCCTTGCATCGAAGATTAGAAAATTCTTTTATTATTTTATTCAAACTAAAAATCTGAAAGAAAAATTAATTTTGATAGATCCTGAAGGAAGTACAGGTCAAATTGAGAGCAATCCTATGGCCATGAAAAATCATTATATCCCGTATTCATTTTAAAGAGCATCCAATATTAGAGTCCCATTAGCACCCACTGTTAAATTCGAAATAAATCTAAAAAATTTTCAAATGCTCCATAATTTTCATAGATTGCCTTTAGAGGAACCTCATCAGCACTTAGAAAAATTTTATATGGTATGTGATTTAGTTAATCTCCCTCAAGTTACATTGGAAATTATTAAGATGAAATTATTTCCTCATACACTTAGGGACAAAGCTAGTCATTGGCTATCCACATTAAATAGAGAATTAACTAATTGGAAGGACATAGAATAGGCTTTTCTTTGAAAATTTTATCTCTTAAAAAAAACTCAAAATATGAGAAATATATATAGAGTTTTTCTCAAAGACTAAGAGAAACTTTACATGAGACATGGAAAACATTCAATGATTTACTTAGAAAGTGTCCTCATCATGCTATACCTAAGTGGCAGCTCAATAGAATTTTTTATGATAGATTATTAGGAACAACATAGAAATATGGTTGATTCTATATGTGGAAGAGCTTTTATGGAGAAAACCCCTAATAAGATTTACAGTCTTTATGAGAATTTAAGTGAAAATTTTAGAGATCAAGCCTCTTTTGAATTATATGATAGGGAAAAGAAGAGAGGAATTTATGAATTGTATCATGATGATGATTCTAAATTTAGAAATGAGGTTAATCAGATTAATCAAATATTAAAAAAACTTGATTTACTTATTGAAAATATTAGAAAGCCTCTTAACCCTCAATTTAATTCAAATAATATATGTCCTATGTATGGTGAAAATGATCATTTCGAATTTCAATATCATCCTAAGCAAGAACAAGTGCAGGTACCCCATGATTTTAGTAAAAATAGGAAATATGTTTCTAATTCTTATAATCCTAATTGGGGGAATAATTTTTTGTTGAGAAACCCAAATAATATTCAAAATTCAGAAGCACTTAGATTCAATTCAAATTTTGAATTTCATCCAAAATAAGAACACAAATTTTAGAAAAATCAGCCCTCTCAAATCAAACCTGATGCTATGGAAATGATGCAGCAAATGAGCCAAATGATGCAACAAACTATGAATTAAATGATGTTGCACCAAAAACAAATTATAGAGGCTTTTGAGAATAGGAGAGAAGAGGGACAGCCACCTAGTCAACCCATAGAAAATTCAGGAAATTGTCTAACAGTAGGATTTCAGCAAGGAGAGTTTAGTTAGATAAATTTAGAAAAAAATCCACGAAATAAAAATGTTAGGACAGTGAATACATTGAGTAAGATAATTTTACCTGATTCTTATTTCTAATTATTAGAAGAAATCGATGAGCCATTAGAAGTAAATGAGAATATTAATGCTGAAAATATAGTAGCAGAAAATTTGAATAAAATCATTTATTGCTCACAATTAATGAATGAATATAGTGAGAATGATGAAGAGAAAAAGCCCTTAGATGAAGAAACAGAAGTTGATTATGGAAAAATCATCAAAATTTTAGTAGAAGGGAGTAAGGAAAAAAATGAAGAAAAACATATTTCAAGTGAGGAAAAATCAGTTGATTTAGGAGATGTAGAAGACAAAATTAATAAATTTAATCATAATTTTGTAGCCATGTATGTTGATAGTGAGGATGATGATGTATATCATATATCGAAATTAAAAGATAGCTCTTGAGAAGATGAAGAATTTGATGAGTTGAGAAACGAAAAGCTAGAAAAAGAGTTGATTCAACTAATGGGGAGAAACAAAAATAATGAATATGAATATAGAGATAATTTTGGAGGAGAAAATTTAAATTTTATTAAATTCATTAGATCTGAGATTAAAGAAGACAATCCTTCCATCCTTCAAAACCCACAGCCCATTAGAATTATTTCTAAGCTTGAAATATTTCACTCGCAAATTGAACAAATATGTATGGAAGATAAAATAGAGCAGGGGAAGATTATGCAGATAAAAGAACACATTAAGAAATGGGTGAGTAGAAGAATTAGAGATATCAATTTAGATGAAAAATATTTAGATTGGGTAAGATGATTACACCAATCTTATGAGTCTATTGATAAAGCCTCAATATTGGATGATAGGATATGTATATTTTATATTCTTATAGCTTAAATATCTTAATAAAAGCACACATTCAATGTAAAATATTTTTATGTGAATTTATATTGTTTACTCAATTACATACAATAACTATTAAATTCTATATATCTTATAACATGTATTTTATATTGAATCAAAATGTTTTTTTATGCAATGCTAGTTATTCTAATAGATAGAAAAATTATATTTACATGCAAGAAAATTAGAAGAAGAATTTTTAAATAGCTTCTCTATAATTTTTAAGTATTTAATGAGTCGACCAACGGATCCATTACAGCCAATCCACTATCAGGCTGCATACTAGCCCATTCTAATGGGGGATTATTTAAAGGGTGAGAGAAGAGAGAAAGGGGGGTGATCAGCAAAAATTAGGGCTCACATAGAGAAGATGGATGATGATGACGAGTAGAAGAACGAGAAATCATGACAGCGACAACTACAATGACGATAGCAGTGACAACATCAACAATGATTGTGAGTCCCATTTTGTGTGATAGGCAAAGAAGGGGCCTAGCACGGGGGTGGAGGCACTCATGATGCGACAACAACAGTGGTGATGACAACAATACTAGCTGCAATCTCCTAGTCTACATAACAAGTAGAGGAGGAGATGAGCACAGTGGTGGCAGCACCCACTAGGTGACAGCAGTAGTGGTGGTGATGGCAGCAATGGCTGCAAACTCCTATTCTACGTGACACGTAGAGAAGGAGACAAGCATGGTGGTAGCGGTGACAATGATGACAAATACACTCTCAAGTAGTAGCAATGGTGGTTGTGAGCTCCCTTACTAAGTGATAGGTAGAAAAGGGATCGAGCATAGTAGCATCAACATCCACACTCCCAAGCTTTGAATTGGGTGTTTTAGATTTTGCACGTGTTTAGTTCTATATTTCATTTTCTTTACGAATGCTGTGAAAAGTGAATTCCGTGAGATTTTTAACACTCATTGAATTTCAGCATATTGACTATGTATTTTCTATAGTTGTCAATACAATCTGAGGTTCTCTTCTAAACACAAGGTTTAGTACTCTACTAATAGACTAGTTGCTGGCAAAGGTGTTTTCACCTCTATCATTTTTTTTAAATTTATAATATTTATTTTATTATTTTTTCTTTTGTTCCTCTAATTTTGAGTTTGTGAAAGATCTAGAAAAGTTTTAAAGCCTCACTTCTTCTTTCATTCCTTTTGTGTCTTTAGCCTCACTCAAACATTTAATAGAAAATATTTGTACATCGCATTATACTAAGTTTTTCTTGTGGATCTATAATGAGTTTTCATTATCATGAGTTAATAATTAGTAAATAATATAGTTTTAGCCTTAACTCATGATAAATAAACTTATATTAGTGTTAAAGTGTGAAAAGTGGTTTTCAATTAATTAACGTGAATTTTTGGATAATTATGTGATTTTATACAAATTTATATAATTTTTACAGTCTTACTTTTGAGATAAATGAAGAAAAAATAAATAAAAATAAAAATATAGCAAAATGGGGGGTAACTACCAACCAGCTAGGCCCGCAAGTGGGTCAGAAACATAGCTGGAGAGGAGCTGCGAGCAAGGGCTCAAGCGGCTAGGACTAATAGGGGCACATGTGCCACTTTCCTTCCACATCACTAGTGGCCAGCTAGTTGTGAGGCAAGAAATAGTTGCACATGCACAAGAAAGGGACTTGCGTGCAAATATAATATTATTATATATTCACCTGAAATTTCAGCACACAAGCGATGTGAGACCAAACCTGCATCACACCTTCCCTAGAAAGGGTTCAATGATTTTAATACCTAAAGTACTCCTTATTTATAATAGAGAGATACTATGATGACATCATTAGATAAGGGCATTAGAGTACTTATGTCA